GATGAAGAAAAGGAGAACGAAAGTGAAAAGGACAGGGAGAGAAACGAAAGGGGGGAGAGTTCGCGAAGGCCTGAGAAGTACAAATCGCTTGTTGAGAAAACCTCAGTTGCAGGTACAATTGATGACTTTAACGTGCCGAAATTTATGAAACATTATTAGATAACTGGCAAACCAGAAGTAGCACATGGGGCAAAGTCCTGGAATCATAATGAACAACTTTAGGCAAACTTCAATCAACTGTGAAAGGCACTGTTTATACTTTCTAAAATAACGTTTTTTTTAAAAGCCTCAACTTCCGAAAACGTGAAAAATAATTGTTATATGGAACCATTGACATACCGTTTTCTGTAAAGTAAATAAACAATCACTTTAGTCAACTTTCTTAATGCATATTTCTGATATTAAATGACAATTAGTTTCCGATAGACCTTGTAATTTCGGTGATTACTTCACGATTTTGAGTGGTTTACATATTTTTCATATGTATTTAGATACTTTTTTATGTGTTTAATAAAACTTTCAAAATAAGATCTGCCTTTGTAACATTTACTGAAAAAGTGTGCTTATAGATATTGATACCTATGAAGATGGTCATTGAGAACATATTTATGGACCCACAGGTTATCTTAATGCCCAGAAAACTGAATGTCCACAGCGAAATCCTGATATTAATTTGCTCAAGTTTAATACTACTCTCTTTAAGGAGCAATTTACCCAGAAATTTGGCTAGGGAATTTCTCGTAAGTTTCTTTTTTTGAATAATTACGTCTGATTTTCATTGAAATCAGTGATCCACTTTGGCAGAAAATAGCGGAACTAACTAAATTCTTTAAAGTAGATCGTTATTGCCTATATAACCTTAGCTGACAGCTATTCTTTTTTTCCGTAAGGTGTGTTTTTATGTTACACAATGGCGAAGACTATGCTGTTCAACAGCCTATATTTTCACATAAACAACATAGTAAAATCCTGTTTCGGTGCCTTTTTACACGATAAAGTATATGTAATTTTGTTTACGGACCCAAATAATCAGAGTGCTAAAGGAATACGGTTAGGCTTTTTATTAGGGCGTTTCGCGACCAAACATATCAGAAATGTGAATTCTGGTTTATCAAAAAATGCTTCCAACTGATTTTACTTAACTGTATACCAAATTGTTCGATTCAGGAGAAATTTATTTAAAAGTGTTCTTGTTTTTATTGATGCTATTTTATAGCACAATGTATAAAAATATAGGGCTTTGTTCTGTCTTAATAAATTAGCATAG